AGCTTCCTCATCACCAATCAGATTCCTGCCTTTGTGAGTGCCAGCGCAGTTCATTTTTCAGCCTACATTACCTGCTGCTGATGTCATGTTTGCCTCAGCGGACTATTTTCTTGCATATTCAGCTAGACGACTGCCTGCAGTTCAGGGTGAACCCAGTGGATGGTGCCACACTGTGTAAGGCCATGCATCAGAAAGGCATCAACCTTCGGTACTTGGGCGAGCTGGCCATAGCTATCAGCCAGTCAGAACACAGAGAGAGGCTGCAGCATGTTACTGTAAGGCTCTGTTCCCTCTTTGTACTCTTTGTCCATAATTTAGAAATGAATTACAAACATGTGGCAATAAACTTTCTCTCACTCTTGTTCCCTCTCCCTCAGAGACTTGTGTTTGGTGAGATAGTGATCCGTTCAGCCAGACGCATTTTCAGCTCCTATGTACAGGCGAGTCTGTGATTTACACCATATTTGTAAGCATCTCTTGAGTGTTGTCATTACTTTATAATTTATAACTGTGAGCCCTTTTCTTGCTACAGAATGTGGAGGTATCCAGCCTATCAGCAGCAGTCAGTCACTTCCTCTGTTGCCTGCTGGTGCCCCACTTCAGCTCCATTTCTGCAGCGGAAGAGTCAAAAAAGCGGTCAAAGAAGCGTAGCCGAGGGGGTGGGGCAACATCTGACACAATGGCATGGAGCGCGCTCAGTGGCACAGAGCTGTGGGGACTTTTAAACCAGGATGCTAGAGACACCTACCATCTTACAGAGGGTTTAGGGTGAGTGGGAATTTAGAAATGATTTATATGTGCAAATACAGATGCGTTATAAAGTACTTAAAGTATATTGCTGTTACAGGACCAGTGCTGACTATCTAATGGAGCAATACGGACTGCAGAAATTTTCCCTGCTTAGAGGACTCAGTTTGAAGACAGGAATACAGGTAGGAGGCATGTAATTGAAACAACTGACAGAACCAGGACTTTTAACAGCATGTATTACTCTCAAACCGCTTTCTGAACCTCCCTACAGCTGCGTCTCAGAGATTATACACTGGATAACTGCATCAAGGCCCCCATTAGCCCAGATGACATCATCAACATGTTCCCTGTCGTTAAGCATGTAACTATGACAACCAGCGATGCCACGCAGGCGTTCAACTCTGCTCAGAAGAGCATTGAAAAGGGTAAATGTCAGAAAATTACTTATATGGCTTTATAAGGTATCAAATTTTAACCATACTGCAAGTCCCATGATTGATTCTCCTTAATCCAACACAACTTACAGTAGATTTGTCATGATTTATTATATGACCATTAAATGTAATGATGCAACAACTGGTTCAAGATTTGCAGAGACGTACAACTTCAAGTTCAGCTTCTCCCCTAAGGCTGTCTGCTCCTGTTCCTCCAGGACAGCTGGATCGGGCCTATGAGCAGTTGAAGGAGGCAACGTACCTGTTCGGCCGTGTGTGTGACGACCTGCACCCGGAGGCAAGCATGTGCCTCAGCACCCTGGCCCGGGTGGCATACTTGCAGGGCAACCGTACAGAGGTGTGTCATTGCAGATCGCATCAGCTTGGCACTTCTTTGCATTTGTATCACCGACACACAATCACAATATCAGCATGACCATATATAAAACTGATCATTTCCAGCAGTCACAGATAAACTCTAGGTGTCATGCCTGCTTGCATTCTTTAGACACGTGACTGGATTTTGCCTAACATCTTTCTCTTTGGACACTCTTCCTGTGCTTCAGGCCCGCAGCGTACAGATGAAAGCTGTGGTGTTGAGCGAGAGGGTCCTTGGATTCGATCATCCAAGCACTATCCAGGAATATGTGAGTGATGTGCCAGTGGAATAAAGGCCATTTGTCCATCCAATGTCACTTCAGAATGTTCTCTACTGGCTCAGTTCCCATTTCACCGTGTGCTCAATTGGCTCAGCCCACATAAAAGTGTGACTTCAACCTCTCCTTTGGTATTATTCTCAATGCCTCCTTTATTTGAAATTTAAAGAATAAAGTGATTGAAAATGTAACACCATAAAATGCACGTGTCACTGGAGTGTATTTATACGCTCCCTAGTGGTAAATAAAAAGGTGGTTTGTCATGTGGTGGTGCAGCAACACACTGTAATCAGTGCATGCTCCTTACCTTAAGAAAACTGGTAGCGCAGGAGCTAAAGCACTACCATGCATCCATCTTCCAACTACTTATCCAGTATACAGTCACAGCGACCCTGGAGCTGACAATAAGAAGCACAGGGCATAAGGCAGGGGGCCACCTGCGCACATACACACTCAAACATACACACACTCACCGTGGTTTTGGACAGCAAGAAAAACCTGGAGCACTTAGAGCAAACACAAGTCAACACATGCAGAACAAGTAAAGTCAGCACACGAGGGGACTGAGCCACTGTACTTTATCATCATGATTTATGGATTATTTAAGCAAAGACCACCCTATGCATCTGTGTTTAACAAACCAACCCTGTTTATCCATCAATAAGCTGCCTTCTATAAACTCTCAGTTGTATTGTTCATTGCTGTTGAATGTGACTTGGCGGTTCCGCAGGCCCTGCTGGCCATGTATGTGTTTGCGGGGCAAGAGCTGGGCCTAGCACAGCGCTGCCTGTACCGCGCGCGCCTGCTGATGCTGCTGGTGCATGGGGAGGAGCACCCCTACATGGCTACACTGGATGTGAGTATGAGACCATCCACTACTATTAGGGGGCCTCGCTAAAGTTACAAATGTTCTCATTCTATCAAGATATAAGGATAAAACATGATCTTGGTCCATTTGTCAGAGTTCTCTAGGTCTGGTGCTGCAGGGAGAGCAGTCAGTACAGTATCTACAGAGTGCGCTCAGACTCAACACCATGTTCAGAGGCCTGGAGGACTTGCACACTGCTCTAAAGTAACCAAGCCGAATGATCGCATGCTGCTATGACCTAAAAAACATAATTATGGGAAGATTTGAGAATTATGGGAATATATCACCATGGAAGTTGTTAGTATTCAATATGTGTTCATCATAGTGGATTTTAGTAGATGATTGCGTTCTCCAGCCATCCCTTTTAGCTGCATCTCACTCTCCCCCTTACAGCCAGCATTTGCTCGCCCAAAGGCTCTGCTGTATTGGAGATTACCGGAAGGCCATTAGCCACGAGAGACAAGCACTAGCCGTGTTCCAGGCAAAGGTCTGATATCTCCGTGGGCTTTGCCCCAAACACACGACATGCTATATCAAGCTTAATTCATAGGGTTATGCAAACTCATTGCACAATTAATACATTTCAAGAAGGCCTGTGTATTTTTAAGAAGACAAATTTTCAAAGACTGATTCTCAGACATCTGATCAATTCATTACGTAAGAGTTAAACTTGAGAATTTGTTTGCTCCTAGTTTGGAGACAACCATGTGCAGACCAAGTGTAGCACAGAGTTCCTGAAGGCCGTTACCCAACAGGCTGTGCGTGTGGAGCGCTCCCTGCGACAGGGTGGGAGTGATCTGATGGACACAGTGCCCCCTCCTGAAGTAAGTCCAGTCCAAAGGGGTGTAGCACAGACCACATATTTACAGTGTAAAGGCTTGTTCATACTTCAAGACACACAGAGCTGCAGACACGGTCAGGGACTGCAAGCACACACCAAGTCCTGTTTATACTGCAGAGATGAGCAAATGCAGACGCCTGCCTTGTATGCACAGTAGGAACAGTCCTGCAAATACTTCCATTTACATGTAAAATTTTATTAAATTATCTGATGCTTTTATGCAACACAACTTAGAGGGAAGGGTTACAAATTTTGTGTGTACTCCCTGAGATTTCCACTTCTGTTTAAAGGTTTTTTCTTTTACTCACATTTGGGTGATTTCACAACACGAATCTGCACACATTTGGCCATCCTTGTACTCTTTCAACACTTAATGTGCATATAACATCAGAACCGCAGAGCACAGAGAAGGGAGTCATAACTCAATGGTGTATTTAACTCTTCACCAAAACAGTCTTCAAGGATCCCTTCTGAAATACATAAGGTTTCTAATGCATCATCTCACAAATGGTTACGGTATGTGCTCAAGCCAGACAAAACTATCATTATCTTAAAAACAAACTGACTTTATTGTAGAGTTTGATTCCCTCAAAAGAGACAACGCTGGAGCAGCTGGCCATTGTCAACGACATCCTGAAAGTATCAGTCAGGTAATGCTCCTCACATGGATTCTTAAAGCAAAACAATGTGGGTGCTGCAACTTATTTCAGTAGTTCATACCTTTACTACCATATTGTCATTTTTTAGTGATAAGGTCCAAGAAATCAAAGCGAAACTCAGGGAGCTCAGAGCTACTGCTGATACTAACAGTGAGAAAGCAGAACCCAGCAATGGTGAGGTGGCAGGAAGCAGCCCAGCTGATGAGGCGGAGGCTGCTGAGAACGTCACGGTCTCTGACGTGAGTGCCAGTAGTGTCCCTGAAGAGAACACACAACAAAGGCCACCTATACCCTACCCAGAGGAAACAGAGAGCAGCAACCATCTCAGCGAGAACCTAGACCATGCTGAAGAAGAGGCACAAGAAGCTACTGACCACCGTAAAGCTGGGGAGACAGCCACTATGGGAAAGAGTGATAAACCAGGAACCAACGTTGTCAACGGGGAGGGTTTAGAAATAACTGACCAATCAGGAACAGCACAATGCAATGGGAAAGGGAGCCTTGGAGCCAGTGATGACAAGTTGGAACTAGCAAAGCCTGACACAGAAAGACAGACCAGCATAATGACAGAAGACTCTGAAACAGAGTTTAACGGAGTAGGAGCCTCCACTGTGGACAAGGCAAAGTGAGCACAGAAGGATGGAGAAAAGCAGTCTTACAAGAACAACAGCTAATAACGTATGGAGAACCAGTATGGAGCAGAGAATGCAAGCAACTGACAAACACGAAATGAGGAGATCCTAGAAGTCAACAGTGAGTCTGGAAGGGCCCAGGAAAAAAAAAATCACCATAGGCAGCTCATGGATCATGTTGTCTAGCTCAATAAAGACCTAAAAGACATGGGAATCTTAAATTCCAATGAGTAAAGTTAGGCTTGCAAGTACGGTTTAAAAAACTGGGAGTTCAGAGTAATCATTGTATTTTGAAAAATATACAATAAAATTACTGGAAATTTAATAGTAGATTCCTGAATAACGTTTAAATTAAGTAAACAACATAATTTGTGTAACAATGATGTGTACATGCAAATTCAAACTCAATTGGCATCTTCCAGTGAAAAGGCTAAAAAAACAACAACAAACCATTAGACCATGTTGGTGTCTGACTCCACCTACAAGTCATTCCTTAAGCAGGACTGGAGACACCTGGTGCCCAGTCACCTGGAGGCCAGCTGGTAGCAGTGGGAGCAGAACCAAGCGCAGTTCCTATCCAGAGCCTCAGCTTGATACCTCCCTCAGTATAATCTCCAGATCCTTGCAGTTGAGGTACTTGGGTTCAGGGGCATGGGTCCACACATGCAGCGGAAGAGTGCTCAGTCGATGTCGGGGGAACTGCAACACGACCGTGTCATTGAACACATCAGAGAAGCGCGTTGAGCACGGAAGGGATGTCTCCTGGCATACTGTACTCACCTGATAGTCTCCGTAAAGGACTCAAACACAAAACTGACACCATCACCCATAGGCAAGCTATACAATGTGCAACACAATACTGGATTCACAGAAAATGTTACATCCAACAAATCAATGGAGAGAATACTGAATACATTAAAGCAGGGTTTCTCAACTCCTGCAGTGCGTCACAGATCTATATGAGCTAAACATGGTTTGGACCATAATGAGCTGCTGCAGGGACCCGATCGGCAGCCTTAAAAAAAATTAGATACAAGTTGCAGATGTAAGTTTCATATAAGTTTCTATTCTTTTTCCAGTCATACTTCACAGTCCTGTGTAACCTGCCTAAACGAGATGGCACACAAGTCCAGTTTTAATAAACGACAAACAGTGAATATGTTGGATTTTACTCATAACATAAGTTGAATACCACAAAGTACATTAAGCTAAATTAAGACACACACGCACGCACACACACACACGCACACACACACAAAAACACATTTATATGCTTCTACAGCCATATGTTTAAAAAAGTGCAATGCATAGCTTGGAGTACATTAACCCGCTAATACCACAGTTATTACATATTCGCCTTAGTACCTAAAGATTGGCCTTTGGGCTTAGCAAAAGTCAAATTCAAACTAACCACTTAGTTTATAGTCTTTACAACAGATTCTTTTCAAAATAATGATGGTAGCTTGGGTCGTATCTAAGCAGAACGTTTAACGGTACTTGGGTTGGGTGGTATATAATTTTTCATTCTCTCCAGACATTAAAATTGTAATATACAGTATTTCAATGGTTCTTCTAATACTTGCGTTTTCAGTTCATCAATGTGAAAATAATGACTTTCAAGCACTAACATTAGTAATGCATAAGCCAAATGTATGGTAACCATTGAATTAGTGGGTCAATGCATGACAAGCCTTGCCTTATGACACACCATGCACGCTCTGCATGTTGGGTGGTTCACCTTGGCAATTGTGCATTTAAAAGTGTATAATGCATACCTTGTCATACATTATCCATTACATAACGCAGGTACTGCGAGCAAAATTTATTGCGGGTGAACCCCCCGGTTGGCAAAAATGACTGAGGGGACCCCTCTCTGATGGGCAGCCGACACATTGTACTGGTCAGCAGCTGGGCCATGGCTGGAAATACTGAGAAACCCCATGTTAAAGGATACATTAGCAATAAAACTGTATTCCCTCTCAAGGTCCTGCTGCACCATCCTAGCAAATGTGGAAGATGGTAAACATCGTATTACAAAGACATCAGATGCACATTCCTATCACATCAGCGCAAAGCTTTTTATTTCATTCTTGTAAATAATGAAATCAGGAATTCATCAGTCAAACACATTAAACAAATTTCTGGTTCAAGTTTTAACTTGCAAATAAACTTTGTTGAGGCATAAGAGCTAAAAACAAAATCTGTCAGGGGTGATACTCTTCAACCACAGTGACAAAGTGACTGAGTACCTGACTTACTGAATGCTGCTTCACTTTTCAAAAACAATATCCAGTCATATGAAATAATCACATATAAACTCTAATATAAATATAACTCACATATAAAAACATATATATTCAACAACTAAAAGAAAGCAAATCGAGCTGGTGCCTCACCTGTCCTGGAGACCCTGGAAGCTGTTGCCCATGATGGTGAGCAGTGGCAGCTTCTGCTGACTCCAGTTGCTCCAAAGAAGGTTGTTGTACAGAGCTGTCCCACAGTGGAGAAGGTAGAAGAGTGTGGGGTGGCTTACTGGCCTCTTACCCTCCTAAGGGAGCCACATACAGACACAGCACCATGACCAGGTAATCCGCTTCATAATAAATCAACGGCTGACACAACACAGCCCCTTACATCAAACATCCAAGACAAATTGGGATTTACTACTTTGGTTATTTTTATATATTCCAAAATATGCATGAAATCGAAGGTAAATATATTAATCAATAACAATCTTCCCTCATCAGTTTAAAAGCAGGTACAAATGCAAATCATCAATACAACCACAAATAGTGTCTGACCTATGAAATGTAATTCTGGTGTTTGGTTTACATTTTGCACTGTTGGAGCAGAGGCAATGAGCGCATGGAGGGATGAGACGGCAGCAGACAAACAGCAGTGCAATACCAGCCTTCTGATGTCTGCCAGTTTATACTGCACATGTACAGTATATGGGGGGGAGGGGCAGCGTACCTACCAGCAATTTTATAACTTTATGTATTTGCCCATTTGCATTTTTTGCAGATGCAGCAAACAGAAAGCGTGAACGTGAGGAGTTGGAATACGTTGTTTAAATTTTGAAATAAACCAACCCCTCCACAAAAGCCCAGCATCCCGTGGCCTCGTGGAATACTAGCCACAGATTGGGAACCCTAATACAGTACAAGACAGTGCAGCATAGGAGTAACAACTAAAGGTATAATATAAAAAGACAGTGTTAATCAACTAAATAAAACACTAATAATAACACTGAAAATCTCTGGCCAAAAATGATTAGCACATATTAACCACAGCCTCTCTTTGTTAAGGGCTTCACTTTTCATATACCAATATATTTGAATTATTAATTTTGATAATAATGTAAAAAATAAGGGAAAGCTAAAGGTACTTCCAGCACAATCTCTTTACAAAAACATATATACAAAACAATATATATTTATATGCACCAGGTCACCTCAGTTTTCACATCAAAGAAGTAGTATATAATTCAGTAACATGACTGAACTGTGTCACATGTACCAGGCAAACTGCCTGTGTAAAGCCTGTCTGTGTCAGGGAACTGTGCTTGGAGCATACCCCATTCTCAGGCTGGACTGCTGATGCAGTGATTACACAGAAAGGCTGCCTTTGAAGGGGTGCTATATTTGGTGCATACCTCACTCTCAGGGTTTGGGGTGTACCACATTCTCAGGCAGGACTGCCGATGCAGTCATTACACAGAAAGGCTGCTTGTGTAGGGGCGCTGGTTTTTGGGCATACTCCATTCGCAGACAGGACTGCAGATGCAGTGATTACACAGAAAAGCTGCCTTTGTAAGGGTGTTGTGTTTGGGACATACCTCATTCTCAGACAGGACAGTAAAGCCCATCTTCCGGAGCATATTACATTCAGCTGGGGAAAAGACAGGGTCGAACATACTGCAGCGTCCATGGGGAATCTGAGAAGGAGAGTGTTAACACAAGCATAGAGTAAATATAGTTTAACAAACATTAATGAAGCAACAACATCCAACCAGGCCCTGTAAAGAGGAAGACTGACACCCATGACTTGCTCTGACAGAATTGTGGTACTAATAATATAATGTTAGTGGGGCTCACCTTTAGCGCTTCCAGAAGCAACAGCAGCATGGCCAGCTGGTACCGGGAAGCGACGCCAGACAAGAAGCTGCCCAACCCATAGCAAACACAGTCAAGCTCCAGACCATGTGGGTCAGGGCCGCTCTCTGTGATATCCTGGCTCTGGAGACGCAGACAGCCCGTCAGCATCTCTGAGGGGGTAACCAGCAGTCACACCTCAGCTACAAAACCTGACACGACTCATACAGTGTTATTTTATTTCTATTATGTTTAATATTTGCCAGTATGTGCATTTATGAAATAACCATATCGAGTAAATTAATAATTTATAAATAGGTAACCATATCAATGTCTACACCATTTTCTGTCTGTATCTACAGTTAAAGACAGAGACAAAGGTGTTCATAACAACAAGCAATGGGACCATTTGCAGTGGCAGTACAGAAATTTGCTGTTTTGGACAAGTTATAAACTGAACACAATATCTGCCTGACCTCTCCAATCCTGCCAGATGTCTTCGCAAGTCAGTTCCATCCTGAAAAAAAGTCCAAAACGTATAAAAATAAAGTATCATTTCGTTTCTTAAATGACAAGAAATGTTAATGTTAATTTTGTTATTTAATGGTTTTTAAGCTAGACAGCTATAGACCTTAGTAGTAGTGGTTAATGTGTTATCAGTATTGAGTAGCTCAGCTTTATTGTATTGGGTGGCATTGTTCATAGGACGATTATCTTCCTCCCTTTCTTACTTTGCCTCTCTCACTCGTTCCTGTATCTTGCTCATGTCCACCGAGCCCATGAAATCTTTAGGGCTCAGCTGACATGTGCTAATGTCACATGCTTTCTTTCTGCGACGCCGCACTTGTCGCCACTCGCTGTCGCTCCCAGCCATCCCGCAGGCGAGTTAAGCCTGACAAAAAAAAGAGAAACAAATGCTTATACCGAATAATAACTACCCTGGACACCTGATAAAAAAGGTAAGTCTGACACTATTAGATGAATATCAAAGAGACGAAATTATCTAGAATTATGTAAACTTTCCAAAGCGTAGTCCTTCCACTATCAAATTTCCCCTTGATGAATGGAATACGTTTCAGACATTTAAATACCGATACAAGGTAATAAAACCAACAACCTGCATGAATTTCTGACATTCGATTTCACACTGAAACTATAAAAGTCTTTCGATATCGAATTTATATCTAAGCAGCTTACTGAAAAATATTCACAGCGCACAAGCAGGAACTACATGGGGATAACGTATTCGGCGTACCGGAAGTTAGGGAGTCACGTAATTTCCTGTTAAAATAAGACACAATAAAAGCCTTATTTTTACCAAAACTATTTTGCGATTCTGAGTGTTACCCCGCAATCCAATCCGATTAAAAAATTTAGAAATAGCATAATAATAACAATAATAATAATAATAATAATAAACAATTAATAACACATTGTAACAACGTTACAATGAAAAAAAATATATAAATGACACATTTTCAACTATACTACTACATAATTATGATTATCTACTACTAAAATTCCAGTAATAAATAGCGCATATGCAAAAAAAAGAAAGAAAGAAAAAGCCCTTAATTTGAAAAAAATAGCTCATGGAAATGCTCCCGGAAGAACATTATTTTTCCGACATGTTATTGCTTCCGCTACACTGTTACTACTTGAGGAGCTGGACGATTTTTATTTACTGAACTGGTCTCTTAAGTATGTTGTTTATCTTATCTTGTAATCTGAAGCGTTTCTGTGGGTTATGTTTTAACGCTGTAATCAAACCTTTAGTTCGTCTACTAGTCTTTTTGACATGGCTAGCTAACTGGCTAATTTTAAGCTTTAAACGTGTTGAGTTTGTGGCTAGGTGTACTACTTGCTTATCTATGTGCATGACTATATTACTCATTACTTTTACTTTTGCTTATAGAACATAAATCATGTCCATGTCCCACCTGTACGGACGGAGGGGCAATAATAATGAGGATGACGACGACGGAGTGGAGATAGAGAATTTCGAGGTGACCGAGTGGGACCTAGCAAATGAATTCAACCCTGACCGCCGTAGACACCGGCAAACCAAAGAGGACGCCACCTACGGCATATGGGCCGAGCATGACTCCGATGAGGAAAGGCCGAGCTTCGGGGGGAAGAGGTACCGAGTATTTGAATTCACGATCGGCTGGTGCTGCGTGAAGATGAGGGGATGATCAGGAGGCGCTCCGGACTGGACTTATGCGAAATTATGTCGGTTACTGCACAAATTCAGTCAATGAGTGATTTAAGAATGTATAAATTAACTCAATGGAATCATGATCTGTAGTTCAGATTTTTACTGGATACGCCTCTCATTAAATCAGCCAAAACCTTTAGATATTTTGGACATAAGAGTATTTGAAGCTGTGAGACAGGCACACTTTGACCTGAACTATATATAGACGTGAGATGTCTGCTTTTTACTATTTTTAATGGCATATTCTTTTTAAGTACTTACACTTGATTAGGTAAACTGTCTCTGAAATTAAGGTAGTCCTTTTTCTGAATTGGTGGAAACCGATACCGATACCAATACCTGAGCTTTGGGTATTGGCTGATACAGAGTACCGATCTGATGCCAGTGTTTAATTAATAAGCTGTAGACTTTACCTCACTGTGTAGAAGAAAATGTGATCATTCCTTTGTGTGTCAGGGAACATCAAGCATAACTTAAACAAAGCTTATATATATAATTTCAATTCAGTACATTTAGCCTATATACACAGTGGAAACCACTTTAGTGATAAGTATAACCGGATGATCATTATAACCTTTTTTTTCTTTTCATTTTCTTTGTCTTGACAGATTATCATCAAATTGACATTTGTATATTTATTACCTGACTAAAAGGTAATAAAATGGACAGCGTTGCTATTTACTGAATTTTACTGACTCTCCCTAACCCTTTCAAAATACAGTACAGCTGTTTCAAATTACAGTACTGTATCAATAAAATTACTGAAATGTATATAATTCAAATACGAGCCTTCACACCTGTATGGGCACACCCTAGATCATCTTATATCACATAGGGTTAAAATAATTGTACAATCAGTTAAAGATTTTACTGTATCCAATCACTACATGGTGTTCTTTGAACTGAACATAGATTTTAGAACACATGAAAGGGACATAAGGAGGGATTGAATTGATTTAACTGCTGTTTAGGGATTTTCAGAACTCATAGCCGAGATGGGTGTGAAGTTGGTTGGTCCTTCTGTAAATGAACTTATATGTGATTTTAACTCTACAGCAAGACATGCGCTAGATGCTGCAGCTCCTGAAAAGGTTAAAATATCAATGTGTAGTCACTCTGTACCTTGGAAAACTACAGATATTAATCAGTTAAAACAAAATTGCAGAAAAGCAGAATGTAAATGGAGGAAAACTAGATTAGATGTATTTAGAAAGAGCATTTCAATTTATCAGCATGCCATACATAAAGTACGACTGGCATACTTTTCAAAAGTGATTGCTGACAACAAAAACAATTCTAGAGTACTATTTTCAACTATTAATAGGCTCCCCCACCCTTCACAACCGGTGGTAGAAGAAGCAATTCACACTGTTCTTTAACCAGTATTAGAGCCTCTATAGCACCAAGTTATGATCCATGTAGCTCGGATAGCGGAGCCCCTGCCTTGATGGATTCTTTTAACGGGATTGAATGTTTGGAAAGAGTCTCACAGCTGAAACCATCCACATGTCGTACTGACCCAATTCCTTCTTTATTATTTTAAGTAAACCTTTGTTATTTTCTGAATTAATTTTACACATTGTAAATGCATCACTTTTAACAAGCACTTTTCCAGATTCTTTAAAATGTGCTATGGTTAAACTACTACTTAAAAAGCCTGCCTTAGATAATACTGTTCTTAGTAATTTTAGGCCTATTTCAAATCTCCCTTTGAGTACAATTTTAGGAAGGGTTGTGTACCTCCCAGATAATAGAATTTCTCTACAAGATATTTGAAACATTTCAGTCAGGTTTTAGATCCCAACACTGCTAGAACAGATAAAGAAATCTGATCATGTTGCACAACTCTTGTATGAACTTCATTGGCTATCCGTGTCTTTTAGAATAGATTTTAAAATTCTTTTACCGACTTATTAAACACTTAAAGGCTTGGCACCTTGTTTCATTATTGACCTTTCTTTAAACTATCTATACTCCCTCTAGGGGTCTTTGGTCTTCAAACTCTATGAGTCTATAAATACCAAGAGTTAAAAAGAAATATTGTGGGGAGGCAGCTTTTAGTTATTATGCACCCAAACTACCAGTCGCAATTAAACATGTTATCAGTAGCAAGAGTCACATTCTTGTTTTAAAAAGCTTTTAAAAACATATTTATTTGACTCTGGCTTTTAATGTTTAGTATTTTTAATTTGTCCCTGTATTCTTTTTATATAATTCTGTTTTATGCATAAATTATTGTCTAATTTTAGATTTAGTTTTTGCCTTTTATATAATCATATTATTTCTTATAATTTGTATATTTTTTCTTTTGTACCATCTTCTTACACCTGTATACTTTCTATTTGCTTACCTTATTGCTTTTTTCCTCTCATTTTTATTCTCAGTGTAAAGCACTTTTGGGCCACATTTTATGTATGAAAGGAGCTATATAAATAAAGATTATTATTATTATTATTATTATTATTATATAAATATGCTATAATACAGTAGCCCACTGTACATAATATATAGCTTACTGTAGTTTCACTGTTGCATCTCGTTGACTGGTTTTTGGCAATGTATCATATCGTCATTGAGAGAAAATGACTTCTTTCCCCCCCCCCCGTCAGGTTTTCTATGCATGCAGCATTAGCCTCAGGTAGCTAGCTAGAAGCAGATGGAGTAATTACCGCAAGGCAAAGTAAAAAAAAACAAAAAAAACACTTAGTTTCCATATGTTGTCATTTATAGGAAGACCCAAAATGAACACTTTAAGTGGACTACTTGTTTACTATGAGTGAATTATTTAAACTATTTGTACAGGAGTGATTCTGCCCCAAGCTTTTTTATTTATATAAGCGGCTGATCACTATAACCTTGATCACTATAAGCTGTTTCCAATGTGTATTTACCTTACTTTAAACCTGAGTTTTCAACTCAATTATTTATATCAGGATTCTCAGTTTGAAAGGTCTTTACAAAGGAACAAAACCTTGACTGTAAAGGCTGATTTATACTTGTGTTGAATTGACACCATAAGTACGACATAGCTGTGGACCCTACGCCATAGCCTGACGTGCGTCTCCCCAGAAATTTGCCTACACGTCACAGCGACACAGACTGCAAGAACTGTGACTGTTCCGCTTGGTAGCATTCGTGTTTTTTATAGGAGTGAAGAACGCAAACACCTAGGTGTACTTATATTGATGATTGAACCTGAAGTGGTAGTTATATCTAACATTAAATAACTAAACATATTTAATGTTTCATTTTCTGTTTCATTTTCTCTCACTTCTCCATAATTTGCACTAAAGTTTGTTGTTGTGGTCTTTCTCTGCTAGCATTAGCAAACTATATGTACTATGCAGTATGGTACATCTTTTGATCAAATTGCTTATGTTAAGTGGCATGCTGTCCCTTCCTCCTCTTGACACTTTAGGAGAACAGATGTTACAGTGACAAAATGCCGCAGCTTTCAGTTTTAACGTATTGTTGCAATTAAGTGGTATCGGTCCTTGGTATCGGACAGTTTTTACGAGTATGAGTATATGAACGCAGTATCAGCCCGATGCCGGTTTCGGTATCTTTGCATCCCTAGTTAAAGTGCATTTTCTGACTGTAGTGGAGCATTATTAGTCAAATGTAAAGAAAAGCTAGCTGTTGATGACATTGCAGGATAGTCTCATATTAAGTTGGATATTTAATTTAACTTGTGTTTTCATTTGGAAATCTATTTGGGTCTGAGTATAACTGTTCATACTGAAGTTATTTTGTGCCAAAAATTAGTAGAAAAGATAAGATTGCATAAGGATTAAATCCTATTAATTTAACCTATTACAATTTACTAACAACTGTTTAGATTATGGTTAGCCTAATGTTAATGTGAGTGAATTTTGAGTATATTACCAGAATATTAGGTATATTGTCATTGTAAAGCAGCACATTGAGAGTTACTCCAATAAGGAAGAAAGTCTTGACTGTTATATGTTGTACTCACTAGTGGTGTAATGGTTAACTACAAACTTCATTAACTGCAAAAGTAAAGT